GATACATACAACAGCTCCTGATCTGTCTGATAACGTACCTCGTGTTATACTCTTATGTTTAGCCAGAGGGGTGGGGACAGATACATACAACAGCTCCTGATCTGTCTGATAACGTACCTCGTGTTATACTCTTATGTTTAGCCAGAGGGGTGGGGACAGATACATACAACAGCTCCTGATCTGTCTGGTAACTTACCTCGTGTTATACTTTTAAGTTTACCCAGAGGGGAGGGGACGGATACGTATGACCCCTCTTGACCTGGCTGGGAGTAGTCCCCACAGGCTGACTCATCCTGGGGCCGTTTATGGTGCTTCAGAAGTGTCACTATGTCATCATGTCCTGCTCAACATTACACAAATATTGTTACAAATATCTCCATAGTTAACACAAAAATATGTTAACACATGTAAACTCCATATATATCTATGTAAATTCACAAATAATTTACATATTTCCATAGTTACCATGACAACACAAAAATATTGGTACATGACAAACAATATACAAACAAATTTTGAAGAAAATCTATTTTTTATATGAATTGTTCTCCTCAGGTGTTAGGTAAATATGAAAAATACTTAAGGACAAACTGTGCAGACAAGGTTTTCATCTATAAACCTTGAAAATGCCATGAAAAGAAGCTGAACACAAAGTCTCCTACTGAATTAGAGCTGAAGAAAGTCTAACAGTAGTCAGTGAATCAGAAAATGTTGGTTATAGTGACCTGCATTTGATATGTTGGTGTAGTAATCCTTATGATGTATCCACATTAACTGTTAAACTAGAAAGAACAAGACAATTTGGCGAATTATAGTCCCCCACCGAATGCGAAATGCACAGATGATACATTCGTGCAGGAACTAATTCTATATATGAATGTTTGACAGACCCACCGCATTCAACACGGAATAGTGTCAATGACCTGGTCAAAAACAGAGTGACCTACTTTGATATACGACACACCGCCTCACCAAGATGAACCCAAACTCCAAGTATAAAGTTCCAGTGACTTGTAGTGTAGGAGATAGAGCCCAGACAAACCTTTTCTTAAATGCAGGTCAAAGGTCAAAATGTAGGTCAGAGTGACCTAATTTGATATAAGACACACCGCCTCACCAAGGTGAACCCATACACCAAGTATGAAGTTCCAGTGACTTGTAGTGTAGGAGATAGAGCTCGGACAAACTTTTTCTTTGATACAGGTCAAAGGTCAAAATGTAGGTCAGATGGACCTACTTTTGATACATGACACACCGCCTCACCAAGGTGAACCCATACACCAAGTATGAAGTTCCAGTGACTAGTAGTGTAGGAGATAGAGCCAGGACAAGATAGCGGAAGGACGGACATGACGCAAAAAAACATTCCCAAAAACATTCCCACCCCGGAAACAGTGCTAAATTCAAAGACCAACCAAGATGTCATACGGATGGATGGACAGATGGAAGGACATCATAAAAGTACAAAAACGAAGGACATCATAAAAGTACCAAAAGCAGAAAAATAGCCAGTGTGCTTGAATTGCTCACCTGGTTCTTAAGTATTATTAAATTAAGTTGAAATCTACCAATTTAAATGAGTTGATATTCATATTTGTTTCCTTTACTGGATCCTGTCCTTCTGCTCCCCTTTAAAGCAAACACCTTCCTTTCCATAACATTGTATTAATTCCCTTGATATACCCACTTGTAATTACAACTAAGAGGAAATTGCAGAAGCATTTTCACCAATGATTTCAATAATTGGACTATTTATTTCATTGACATATTTTAGATGCCATCATTATAAGTAAACATGATGGCATATATTCATCACATCCACAGCTACCTATATATGCGTAATAATACAGCGTATCAGGTGTAAAATCAATGTGATGAAAACTTCCTCACTTGTTGTAAGTTATCAGGACAAATTTGTGACAGGAGTTATTTCCCCTGTGACTGACCTTGTTCATAAGCCCACATGAGTGCTGTCTGTTCCTCCACCTTCTCACTTCCCGAGTTCTGGTCAGTCATGGTGGACACAAGGTTCATGTCAGCACGACACTCCAGTAGGAACTGGACAACACGGATGTGACCATGGTTACAGGCACTGTGCAATGCTATAATACACGGACATGTCAGTAATAGATTAAATACAACACAAAGATCGATACTAAGTAATATATAAGTACAACACAAGGATGTACCAGGATATAAATCTAAACCCAACTGTTTCACCTGTGTGTTATCCCTGTTTAATTACCTGTGTTCCAACATGTTGACCTGTGTGTCTCACCACTACTGAATCACCTGTGTTATAACCGAGCTGTTTTTTTTGGTTCATATCTGTTAATTATTTGTGTGCTGATTCACTTTCCCCTATTATTTTACCTATATGCTTGTCAGAATCCTGGTGATTTTACTAATTGTCTGTCACGCTCCCTGCCAATTTACCTGTATGTCCATCTCACCCCTGTCAATTTACCTGAATGTCTATCTTATCCCTGATAATTTACCTGTATGTCCATCTCACCCCCTGTCCATTTATGTCCATCTTGCCCTTGATAATTTACCTGTATGTCCATCTTGCCTGTCAATTTACCTGTATGTACATCTCACCCCCTGACAATTTACCTGTATGTCTATATTGCCCCTGTCAATTTACCTGTATGTCTATCTCACCCTCTGTCAATTTACCTGTCTGTACATCTCACTCCCTGTATATTTACCTGTATGTTCATCTTACCCCCTTTTAATTAACCTGTATGTCTATATTGCCCCTGTCAAATATCCTGTATTTCCATCTCGCCACTGCCACTTTACCTGTATGTCCATCTCACCCCCTTTCAAATTACCTGTATATCAATCTACCCTTGTCAATTTACCTGTATGTCTATATTGCCCCTGTCAATCACTTGTATGTCCATCTCACCCCTGGTAATTTACCTGTATGTCCATCTCACTCCCTGTATATTTACCTGTATGTCCATCTCGTCACTGATAATTTACCTGTATGTCCATCTTGCCTCTGTCAATTTACCTGTGTGTCCATCTCGCACTGATAATTTACCTGTATGTCCATCTTGCCTCTGTTAATTTACCTTTTTGTTCATTTTGCCCCTGATAATTTACCTGTATGTCCATCTCGTCCCTGCTAATTTACCTGTATGTCCATCTCGCCCCTGTCAATTTACCTGTATGTCCATCTCGCCCCAAAAATTTACCTGTATGTCCATCTCGCCCCGGATAAGTTACCTGTATGTCCATCTCGTCCCTGTTAATTTACCTGTATGTCTTTATTGCCCCTGTCAATAACTTGTTTGTTCATCTCACTCTCTGTCAAGTTACCTGTATGTCCATCTCGCCACTGATAATTTACCTGTATGTCCATCTCGCCCTGGATAATTTACCCGTATGTCCATCTCGTCCCTGTCAATTTACCCGTATGTCCATCTCGTCCCTGTCAATTTACCTGTATGTCCATCTCACTCCCTGTCAATTTACCTGTATGTCCATCTTGCCCCTGATAATTTACCTGTATGTACATCTCACCCCCTGACAATTTACCTGTATGTCCATCTCACTCCCTGTCAATTTACCTGTATGTCCATCTTGCCCCTGATAAATTACCTGTATGTCCATCTCACTCCCTGTCAATTTACCTGTATGTCCATCTTGCCCCTGATAAATTACCTGTATGTACATCTCACCCCCTGTCAATTTACCTGTATGTCCATCTCACTCCCTGTCAATTTACCTGTATGTCCATCTTGCCCCTGATAATTTACCTGGATGTCCATCTTGCCCCTGCTAATTTACCTGTATGTCCATCTCGCCCCTGATAATTTACCTGTATGTCCATCTCGCCCCTGCTGGTTGATGTTGACACTGGGCTGCTCCAACAGATACTTGATCAGTTCCAGGCTGCGACCACTGGTACAGGCACTGTAATCAGGCACCTCAATACATATAGAATGACTCACTGCAAAGACTAGCTAAGGTGGCTGGTTTGTAAAATAGATGGCTAACAAATACTTCTAAATATAAACAAGAGACCCAAGGGATTGAACAGTTTCCCAACTTGTAGATCTATTTTTCATTGTAGAGATGTAAAGTGGATGGAAATAATCCAGTTTTCCCATTTTTGGCCACGCCCCTTTGGCCCCAGGGGTGGCTCAGGATCTTACTTTTTCATACAATCTAATTGCCATCTCATCCTGATTATTCAAACCAAGTTTGAATTATTTCCTGTTGAAAATGGACAAAATATATCCGAAAGTGTTATAATTCTATACAAACTAGTCTATCCGCCCCCTTCACAAGAAAGAGAAGGTGATCCAAGGTAATTAAATTTACATGGCCCCTTGGGTCGGGACAGGAACCCCAGTTTTACAATTTGATATTATATGATTCTTAACAAGTTTCAAAGAAACCTATTCACCAATTCACTAGAAGTATAAAATGTAAAAAGTTTATGGATGACAGAGGAAATGTGATTATTATAGGTCGCTCAGGTGACCTAACAAAGTATCTCAGTATAACTTAATTGTTCTACTCTTAATCTAAACCTCATGTATAGTGACCTGTACTTACCTGTGTATTGGGAACTCACTGAATATGTTTTCAACAGTCAGACTCTCAGCACTGGTCAGTAATACTAACTGCTTGACCACCTCCACCTTGGCATTGTAACATGCCCTGTAACCAAAATATCCAATCACAATCACCAGGTAATGGCCAACACACAGTCAATAGTCAAGTCAACGGTCAATACTATAAATATAAGTAACATAAATATTTATATCAGAAAAATTCCAAGTGAGTTAAGGTTGCGATATGAACTAGATATAGTAGTATTTCCACAAAAATCTTGTCATATTTTCAGAGGCATGTTATAAGTTATAGATTACAGCTTTAGATATAAGGGATCATGATTATCTGTTGTTTGGTACAGAATTAAGTCAAATCTATGTACATACAAATGAAGAGGGGTGTCTCCATAGATGTTCTGGGCATGTGGCTCTGCCTTGTTTTCCAGTAAGTAGTACAGGACAGGCAGGTGCCCTGACTTACAGCAGAAGTGGATCGGTCGGTGCTGCTCGTCGTCTGTAACATTTACTGTAACAGAAGTACTCATAAGTAATCTATACTTAGTGATCCATTAAACAGGGTCATCTTTTATAGGGTAATCTATCAACAGGGTCATCTATATAGGGTAATCTATCAACAGGGTCATTTTATATAGGGTAATCTATCAACAGGGTCATATATATAGGATAATCTATTAACAGGGTCATCAATATAGGGTAATCTAATAACAGGGTCATCCATATAGGGTAATCTATCAACAGAGTCATCTATATAGGGTAATCTATCAACAGGGTCATCAATATAGGGTAATCTATCAACAGGGTCATTTTATATAGGGTAATCTATCAACAGGGTCATCTATATAGGGTAATCTTTATAGGTAAGTTATAAACAGAGCAATTTATACATAGTAATATATATACCTGGATAATTTATACATGATAATACATATACCTTGGTATTTTATACATAGTAATATATCTACCTGGGTAATTTATACATGGTAATACATATATCTGGGTAATTTATACATAATATATATACTTGAGTAATTTATACATGATAATATATATACCTGGGTAATTTATACATGGAAATATATATACCTGGATAATTTATACATGGTTATCAAGACAGGTAATCTTCAACAAGGTTATCTATACATGATTGTCTATACATTGGTTAAATAATCTTTACAGGGTTACCTACAAAAATTAATGAATTACATTTTAGCATTAATAAGGAAATCTATACAGGTAATATATGAATGGCAATGTATACAGAGAGAACTAGAATACTGACAGGTCAGCAAGGGCCCCGCTGTATGCCTGACCGTGTATCTCCCGTATAAGCACTAAGCAAAAGCAACAGTGATCAGTTTGGATTTAGGAATATTGATAATATGTCCTTATTCATGTATGCTATCCTGAGGAAAACTGCAGTAATAAAACAGGAGTATTGTAAGGACCTTATATGATGTATTTTTGACATTATGTTCCCGTTACCGATTTTAGTAACAGCGACCTTGACCTTAGGAATGTTTTAACCCACTATTACACATCTGTATATAAATACAGTGTATCACCATGAGAAATTTCATAAAGTTTGGCCTTCTGTTAGGGCCTTATATGATGTAATTTTGACAGTATATTCCCAGTTCTATATTTAATAACAGCGACCTTGACCTTAGGAATTTTTTAAACCACTATTGTACATCTGCATATACAGTCGAACCTCGTTATCTCAAAGTCGACAGGGTCAAGTATTCAAGTTATGCGGGTTCATATATTTGGTATGAAATTTGCTGTTTGGACATATCAATCAACACATCAATTGATGGATGATATACGTAATCAATAGAACAAACACATTTATGTTTTTTTACAATAAACACGGTTACGAAGAATAGAGTAAGTTATTTCCGAAAAACATACTTTTGTTTAACGCAATCAAAATGCATATGGTTGGACCATATTGTGAATTTGTTATGAAATATGAACGAGCCTAGTGATTAAATGTTGTTTTTGGCTAGTCTTGGCAAAGTCTTTCTAGGTTAACTTTTGTTTTGCAAGTCCGTTAAGTTTTACCTCTGAAGTGTTACATTTAAAATCAAACTATCCCGCTGTCTCCGACCTCGTACTATACAATGCGGAAATGAAAGTGTGCAAGTCTAAAACAAATCACTGTAATGGAGCGTACGCATAGTTGATTCTTTAAATGAAAACACACACAAACAGATTATATCGTACATGTAACACATTGATTCATTACAGCCATATGTGACACCTGACACCCCCTCAACTCGATGTAATCAACAGCAATTTTCATATTGTTCTTAAAATTTCTCGATTGACTTTCAAAGCCATTCTGGCTCCTGTAAAAACATGAACTCCTGAAGCTGTCCTGGGTTGTGATTTTTAACTGTGGAACTCTTTTATGCATGACCATGCTTTGTGACCAATTTTTCGGTTTGGACTGTCATCAGTTTGGGTGTACAAATCATTAACGAACTCGTAGTAAGTACAGAATACTGTTGATCAACATTGATGAAGTTCGTTTTTTATTATGAACAACGTGGTTTCGACGCACACTTTATAGTCTTACTTTATTGTAAATTATTTTTACCGATTTCATGCTAGTCTACTCACGAAAGATGTTCATAAACACTAAATGGCGAGATACTGTAGTTTTGCGTTTTATTTGTATCAAAGAATAAATAAGTGACGAAATGAAATTATAACACTGTTAAGTAGACAACGTTTTAATGTTGGATTTACGCTGTTGAAACCAATATCTTACTTCGAGGTATCCAAGTTCTTCGAGTTTTCAGGGTTCAAATTATCAGTTTTATTTACAAAGATAAAGCAGAAATTTGGCCAGGACCGGAGAAATATTTCGAGATAAACGGGGTCTTCGATTTATAAGAGTTCGAGATAACAAGATTCAACTGAAGTTACAGTGTATCATCATGAGAAATTTCAGAAAGTTTTGCCTTCTGTTAGGGCTTTATATTATATGATGTATTTTTTTTACAGTATATTCCAAATTCTATTTTTAGCAACAGTGACCTTGACCTTTGGAATTTTTTAAACCCCTATTGCACACATGCACATAACAGTGTGTCACCATGTTAAATTTCAGACATTTTGGCCATCGTGATTATTATAGGGCACCCGCATTAATGTTGGGCCCTAACTAACAATGACTTTGTTGCCTAATATAAACAGGTGGAGTATACAAGTCACTATTAGAGGGTAGAGAGCCTCACCATCGGCCTTTTGTTGGGAAGTGCCCTGGACTAGCAGCTTAGTGATGTGGAGGTGACCCTTGGCACAGGCCAAGTGTAGAGGCCTGTCACCCACTCCCCCTGAAATGTTTACATCAGCCCCGTGTGAGATCAGCAGCTCCACCACCTGTCATACAGGAGAGAGATAAGGTACAATTCACAACATTATCCTCTGTATATTTTACAATGTTATATTTTGTATACAAGTTGACATATTTTACTTTTACATAGACCACATTTTTATATATACACTTTACACTAATATTTTTTTAAATACTATATTTTGTATAGGTGTCTTTTACAATATTTTGTACAAACACCTTTAATAAACAAATACTACATAATACCTGTGATATATATACACCATGTAACATTTTATATATTTTACAGCTCACCCGCTCATGACCAAAGTTGCAGGCTACATGCAGTGGTGAGAACTTTACTGCATCCTCAGCATTGACCTTTGCTCCATTTTCCAACAAAGCACTGGTTATCTGTAGATAGTTTAAAGTACTTTATAACAGAGTATATCACACAATCAAGGCATGAGACCTGTGTAGACATTGTAAGACAAATGATAAATTTGGCAAAATAAAAAATATCTTCTCTGTGTGTCCTTGACCTATCTGATTTCACCTTAATACATAATTGCCAGGTGTCCTTGACCTTTCACCTTAACAACCATGTTTACTATCCCTCAGTGTATCCTTGACCTTTCACCTTAACCACCATGTTTACTTTCCCCCAGTGTATCCTTGACCTTTCACCTTTATCACCATATAATTGCCAGGTGTCCTTGACCTTTCACCTTAACAACCATTTTTACTATCCCTCAGTGTATCCTTGATCTTTCACCTTAACCACCATGTTTACCATCTCTCAGTGTATCCTTGACCTTTCACGTTAACCACCATGTTTACTATCCCTCAGTATATCCTTGAACTTTCACCTTAACCACCATGTTTACTATCTCTCAGTGTATCCTTGACCTTTCACGTTAACCACCATGTTTACTATCCCTCAGTATATCCTTGAACTTTCACCTTAACCACCATGTTTACTTTCTCTCAGTGTATCCTTGACCTTTCAACTTAACCTCTATGTTAACTATCCCTCTGTGTATCCTTGACCTTTCACCTTTATCACCATATAATTGCCAGGTGTCCTTGACCTTTCACCTTAACAACCATTTTTACTATCCCTCAGTGTATCCTTGATCTTTGACCTTAACCACCATGTTTACTTTCCCCCAGTGTATCCTTGACCTTTCACCTTTACCACCACGTTTACTATCCCTCAGTGTCTCCTTCACATTTCACCTTAACCACCATGTTTACTATCCCTCAGTGTATCCTTGATCTTTCACCTTAACCACCATGTTTACTTTCCCTCAGTGTATCCTTGACCTTTCACCTTTACCACCATGTTTACTATCCCTCAATGGATCCTTGACCTTTCACCTTAACCACCATGTTTAATATCTCTCAGTGTATCCTTGATCTTTCACCTTTACCACCATGTTTACTATCCCTCTGTGTATCCTTGACCTTTCACCTTAACCACCATGTTTACTATTCCTCAGTGTATCCTTGACCTTTCACCTTTATCACCATGTTTACTTTCCCTCAGTGTATCATTGACCTTTCACCTTTATCACTATGTTTACTATATCTCAGTGTATCCTTGATCTTTCACCTTTATCACCATGTTTACTATCTCTTAGTGTATCCTTGATCTTTCACCTTAACAACCATGTTTACTATCTCTTTGTGTATCCTGGACCTTTCACTTTTATCACCATGTTTACTATCCCTCAGTATATCCTTGATCTTTCACCTTAACCACCATGTTTACTATCCCTCAGTGTATCCTTGACCTTTCACCTTAACCACCATGTTTACTATCTCTTAGTGTATCATTGATCTTTCACCTTTATCACCATGTTTACTATCTCTTAGTGTATCCTTGATCTTTCACCTTAACCACCATGTTTACTATCTCTCTGTGTATCCTTGACCTTTCCCCTTAACCACCATGTTTACTATTCCTCAGTGTATCCTTGACCTTTCACCTTAACCACCATGTTTACTATCTCTCAGTGTATCCTTGATCTTTCACCTTAACCACCATGTTTACTATCCCTCAGTGTATCCTTGACCTTTCACCTTAACCACCATGTTTACTATTCCTCAGTGTATCCTTGACCTTTCGCCTTTATCACCATGTTTACTTTCCCTCAGTGTATCCTTGACCTTTCACCTTTATCACTATGTTTACTATATCTCAGTGTATCCTTGATCTTTCACCTTAACCACCATGTTTACTATCTCTCAGTGTATCCTTGATTTTTCACCTTAACCACAATGTTTACTATCCCTGTGTATCCTTGACCTTTCACCTTAACCACCATGTTTATTATCCCTCAGTGTATCCTTGACCTTTCACCTTTATCACCATGTTTACTATCCCTCAGTGTATCCTGGACCTTTCACTTTTATCACCATGTTTAATATCTCTCAGTGTATCCTTGATCTTTAACCTTAACCACCATGTTTACTATCCCTCAGTGTATCCTTGACCTTTCACCTTTATCACCATGTTTACTATCCCTCAATGGATCCTTGACCTTTCACCTTAACCACCATGTTTACTATCTCTTAGTGTATCCTTGATCTTTCACCTTAACCACCATGTTTACTATCTCTTAGTGTATTCTTGATCTTTCACCTTAACCACCATGTTTACTATCTCTTAGGGTATCCTTGATCTTTCACCTTAACCACCATGTTTACTATCTCTCTGTGTATCCTTGACCTTTCACCTTTACCACCATGTTTACCACTCTCTTGGTGTTGCTATTTACCTCAGCATGACCACACTTAGCTGCTATGTGTAATGGGAAGGTGCCACTGTTTCCTGCCAAATTTACATCTACATCCTCACTGTCCAGCAAGTTCTGAACGCATTCTGTATCTCCCTGAAATAATTTTAAAAAATATATCAAAATATCATGATAACCTGGTTTTCTATATATACATATTAAGTTAGTCATGCTTACCTGGTTATATACATTAGACAACAAGGTTATAGGACACTGGTGTAGCCTTACCTTGTATGTAGCTAAATGTAGTGCAGAAAACTGGTTCTTACTGAGCACTGAGGATTTCACGTTTTTCTTCAGCAGTAAATCTATCAGACTTTTACTTCCTGTTGAAACAAAAGTAAAATGTCAAATCCTTGTCTCAAAAAACTAATGGGGCCTGTAGATAGGTAGGCTCTGTGGTGTATACTAAAAGTCCAGATTTGCTGAAGTGAGATTTTCTAAAGATATTTAATATACATACATGTATTAAGGTTGACCTCAAATGGGTATTGAGAGAAATATGTCAGGAGTACAGTAAATGTATGAAGTTCTATGAAAAGGTTTAAAACTTTGGTAAAGAATTAGTGGACATGCCATTTCTCCAACCTCGTAAGCTCTATATACAGATTCTTCTGTTGTGACCTTGACCTTTAACATCTAACCTTAACCTTCTACAGGGTTCCAGAGATTTATGTCAGGAATACTTGAGTGAAAGTTCACGAACTATGGTAAAGTACTTAGAAAGAAACCTGTGCACAAGCCAAATGATTAATATTTTGATCATAACGTTAAGATTCTGTAGCTGTTACCTCAACCTGAAGTTTTTGACAATAACCTTCACTGGGCTCCTGAGAATGATGTCAGAAATACTTGTGTAAAGTTTTAAGAAACTTCCTTGAGCTCTATATGCCTAATTATAAGCTGCAGACAACTGATCACAGACAAGCAGATGGACGATATGACACCAATAAACACTCCACCAAAGGCAAAACTAAAACGTAGTAGTAGCATTTCAAAAGTCTGTATGGCGTTAGTTTCTAAAACACTAGAAATAAAATCTAATTAAACAATTCTGCTTGGAATGTTGATTTTTAAAAACTATCTGTGCATTTGGTTTCTGAATAATACAATAATTAAAGTATGAGAATTTGGGATAAAGCCAGTTTCTTGTTTTCTGACACCAGGTTTATTTCCCCATGGAAAACTGTATGCTTACCCCCAAATATACAAGCTATGTGAAGGAGTGTTAACCCAGTATCTGTTCTTTCCTCTATATTCTCATCAGTCAGCAAGTCAGCTACAGTGGTGCAGTCTCCTCTCCTGCAGGGACACAAAAAATGTACTTTTACGAGCTGAACAGACTGATAATTCCTTGGTACACAGGTAGATTGTAGCTAAGTCACTCTATTGTAAAAATGAATCCTTCCAGACATCTTACAATCTCATAGTTATTATCATTGAAAATAAAATCAAAAATATCAATATTTCTCACAATTTCTGTAAGTAAATTGTATCACCTACTCTCAGGTCCTCAATTAAAAAGTTCCTTAGAATTTACCAGACACAGCTAAAATAGATTATAGTCATCACTGCTGAAAAATACCCACATGTTAACTATAGTCAGGACTATTGATAAATGCCCACATGTTAACTATAGTCACGGCCATTGATACATACCCACATGTTAACTATAGTCACGACCATTGATACATACCCACATGTTAACTATAGTCACGACCATTGATACATACCCACATGTTAACTATAGTCACGACCATTGATACATACCCACATGTTAACTATAGTCACGACCATTGATACATACCCACATGTTAACTATAGTCACGACCATTGATACATACCCACATGTTAACTATAGTCACGACCATTGATACATACCCACATGTTAACTATAGTCACGACCATTGATACATACCCACATGTTAACTATAGTCACGACCATTGATACATACCCACATGTTAACTATAGTCACGACCATTGATACATACCCACATGTTAACTATAGTCACGACCATTGATACATACCCACATGTTAACTATAGTCACGACCATTGATACATACCCACATGTTAACTATAGTCACGACCATTGATACATACCCACATGTTAACTATAGTCACGACCATTGATACATACCCACATGTTAACTATAGTCACGACCATTGATACATACCCACATGTTAACTATAGTCACGACCATTGATACATACCCACATGTTAACTATAGTCACGACCATTGATACATACCCACATGTTAACTATAGTCACGACCATTGATACATACCCACATGTTAACTATAGTCACGACCATTGATACATACCCACATGTTAACTATAGTCACGACCATTGATACATACCCACATGTTAACTATAGTCACGACCATTGATACATACCCACATGTTAACTATAGTCACGACCATTGATACATACCCACATGTTAACTATAGTCACGACCATTGATACATACCCACATGTTAACTATAGTCACGACCATTGATACATACCCACATGTTAACTATAGTCACGACCATTGATACATACCCACATGTTAACTATAGTCACGACCATTGATACATACCCACATGTTAACTATAGTCACGACCATTGATACATACCCACATGTTAACTATAGTCACGACCATTGATACATACCCACATGTTAACTATAGTCACGACCATTGATACATACCCACATGTTAACTATAGTCACGACCATTGATACATACCCACATGTTAACTATAGTCACGACCATTGATACATACCCACATGTTAACTATAGTCACGACCATTGATACATACCCACATGTTAACTATAGTCACGACCATTGATACATACCCACATGTTAACTATAGTCACGACCATTGATACATACCCACATGTTAACTATAGTCACGACCATTGATACATACCCACATGTTAACTATAGTCACGACCATTGATACATACCCACATGTTAACTATAGTCACGACCATTGATACATACCCACATGTTAACTATAGTCACGACCATTGATACATACCCACATGTTAACTATAGTCACGACCATTGATACATACCCACATGTTAACTATAGTCACGACCATTGATACATACCCACATGTTAACTATAGTCACGACCATTGATACATACCCACATGTTAACTATAGTCACGACCATTGATACATACCCACATGTTAACTATAGTCACGACCATTGATACATACCCACATGTTAACTATAGTCACGACCATTGATACATACCCACATGTTAACTATAGTCACGACCATTGATACATACCCACATGTTAACTATAGTCACGACCATTGATACATACCCACATGTTAACTATAGTCACGACCATTGATACATACCCACATGTTAACTATAGTCACGACCATTGATACATACCCACATGTTAACTATAGTCACGACCATTGATACATACCCACATGTTAACTATAGTCACGACCATTGATACATACCCACATGTTAACTATAGTCACGACCATTGATACATACCCACATGTTAACTATAGTCACGACCATTGATACATACCCACATGTTAACTATAGTCACGACCATTGATACATACCCACATGTTAACTATAGTCACGACCATTGATACATACCCACATGTTAACTATAGTCACGACCATTGATACATACCCACATGTTAACTATAGTCACGACCATTGATACATACCCACATGTTAACTATAGTCACGACCATTGATACATACCCACATGTTAACTATAGTCACGACCATTGATACATACCCACATGTTAACTATAGTCACGACCATTGATACATACCCACATGTTAACTATAGTCACGACCATTGATACATACCCACATGTTAACTATAGTCACGACCATTGATACATACCCACATGTTAACTATAGTCACGACCATTGATACATACCCACATGTTAACTATAGTCACGACCATTGATACATACCCACATGTTAACTATAGTCACGACCATTGATACATACCCACATGTTAACTATAGTCACGACCATTGATACATACCCACATGTTAACTATAGTCACGACCATTGATACATACCCACATGTTAACTATAGTCACGACCATTGATACATACCCACATGTTAACTATAGTCACGACCATTGATACATACCCACATGTTAACTATAGTCACGACCATTGATACATACCCACATGTTAACTATAGTCACGACCATTGATACATACCCACATGTTAACTATAGTCACGACCATTGATACATACCCACATGTTAACTATAGTCACGACCATTGATACATACCCACATGTTAACTATAGTCACGACCATTGATACATACCCACATGTTAACTATAGTCACGACCATTGATACATACCCACATGTTAACTATAGTCACGACCATTGATACATACCCACATGTTAACTATAGTCACGACCATTGATACATACCCACATGTTAACTATAGTCACGACCATTGATACATACCCACATGTTAACTATAGTCACGACCATTGATACATACCCACATGTTAACTATAGTCACGACCATTGATACATACCCACATGTTAACTATAGTCACGACCATTGATACATACCCACATGTTAACTATAGTCACGACCATTGATACATACCCACATGTTAACTATAGTCACGACCATTGATACATACCCACATGTTAACTATAGTCACGACCATTGATACATACCCACATGTTAACTATAGTCACGACCATTGATACATACCCACATGTTAACTATAGTCACGACCATTGATACATACCCACATGTTAACTATAGTCACGACCATTGATACATACCCACATGTTAACTATAGTCACGACCATTGATACATACCCACATGTTAACTATAGTCACGACCATTGATACATACCCACATGTTAACTATAGTCACGACCATTGATACATACCCACATGTTAACTATAGTCACGACCATTGATACATACCCACATGTTAACTATAGTCACGACCATTGATACATACCCACATGTTAACTATAGTCACGACCATTGATACATACCCACATGTTAACTATAGTCACGACCATTGATACATACCCACATGTTAACTATAGTCACGACCATTGATACATACCCACATGTTAACTATAGTCACGACCATTGATACATACCCACATGTTAACTATAGTCACGACCATTGATACATACCCACATGTTAACTATAGTCACGACCATTGATACATACCCACATGTTAACTATAGTCACGACCATTGATACATACCCACATGTTAACTATAGTCACGACCATTGATACATACCCACATGTTAACTATAGTCACGACCATTGATACATACCCACATGCTAACTGTAATTCTGTCCAATCCTTTTCATTTGGACGAAGTTCTTCAATGATTTTTGATCTGAATATTGAGTAACTTTCACTTATTTTCTTTTTAAGTTCATCTACAATTAAAGGAAAAGTGTACAATTCAGATTAAAGTAATAGGTAAGGACATACTTTTGTTCCAATGATAAACTGTCAATATAATCTGACCATTGAGATTTTAGGTCTGGGTGATACCAATTAATGTTACCTGACCATGAGATGATAGGTCAGGGCGATACAGATTAATGTTACCTGACCATAAGATTATAGGTCTGGGTGATACAGATTAATGTTACCTGACCATGACATTATAGGTCTGGGTGATACAGATTTATGTTACCTGACCATAAGATTATAGGTCTGAATGATACAGATTTATGTTACCTGACCATGGCATTATAGGTCTGGGTGATACAGATTTATGTTACCTGACCACAACATTATAGGTCTGTGTGATGCAGATTTATGTTACCTGACCACAACATTATAGGTCTGCGTGAGACAGATTTATGTTACCTGACCATGACATTATAGGGCTGGGTGATACAGATTTATGTTACCTGACCATAAGATTATAGGTCGGAATGATACAGATTTATGTTACCTGACCATGGCATTATAGGTCTGGGTGATACAGATTTATGTTGCCTGACCATGACATTATAGGTCTGAATGATACAGATTTATTTTACCTGACCATGACATTATAGGTCTGGGTGATACATATTTTTGTTTCCAGACCATGACATTATAGGTCTGGGTGATACAGATTTATGTTACCTGACCACAACATTATAGGTCTGTGTGATACAGATTTATGTTACCTGACCACAACATTATAGGTCTGCGTGATACAGATTTATGTTACCTGACCATGACATTATAGGTCTGGGTGATACATATGTACAGATTAATGTTACCTGACCATGACATTATAAATGTAGGTCAGGGTGATACAGGATACTTTAAAATTATATATAACTTCCCACACAATGCATTTTGAAATTAACCACATAATGAAAATTGGGAAGATGCTATTTTATATTATGTAATCACCCACTCTATGAATAGATTAATGGTCAATGTGACATTATATATTATGTAATAACCCACTCTATGAATAGATTAATGGCCAGTGTGATATTATATATTATGTAATCACCCACTCTATCTATGAATAGATTAATGGTCAGTGTGACATGATATATTATGTAATTACCCACTCTATGAAAAGATTAATGGCCAGTGTGACATTATATATTATGTAATTACCCACTCTATGAATAGATTAATGGCCAGTGTGATATTATATATTATGTAATTACCCACTCTATGAATAGATTAATGGTCAGTGTGATATTATGTATTATGTAATCACCCACTCTATGAATAGATTAATGGTCAGTGTGATATTATATATTATGTAATTACCCACTCTATGAATAGATTAATGGCCAGTGTGATATTATATATTATATAATTACCTGCTCTAGATTAATGGTCAGTGTGATATTATATATTATGTAATTACCCGCTCATTAGTGTGATATTATATATTATGTAATTACCCGCTCTATGAATAGATTAATGGTCAGTGTGATATTATATATTATGTAATTACCTGCACAAGAGATTGTTGGTCTGGACTTGTAATTCCCCATCCCTCAACATGGTGGGTGTTAGCAGGTGTTTATGTTACAGCATATCTACCAATAAAAACACCAATACATAACACTGTCTTCCTTGGGCTTCTGTTCCTTCTGTTCAGACCGACAGTAAGAGCTGCAGTGTGCCAATTAGCACTTTCTTTTATACCGAGGTTATATGTGGTGTCCATTTTGTGATTTAGTAAGCTTTCCACCCTTTCTGCATCATTGGCAGGTACTGGAGCACTGTCAACCTGGCTACTTAGGCAGATTTTGCTTTAGTCAAATATGTGTATAGGATAAATGTTAAGCAAACAAGCCAATTGTGGTAGCGAATTCCTTGTACACATTAAAAAAAAGGTGGACAAAAAGGTAAGTCGGTGACACGAAAGATGTTCAGCTAATTATTTATATTATTATTAATCCGTTGATTTTATTGATTTTTAGTAGCAGCATCCTTTTATTCCCTGTATCTGATGGTTAAACAGGAATATTAACGATTTCTGTAGCAAAATGTGGAGTGGGGGTTCTTTGCACAAATCACACGACAATCAATTTGATGTTTCTTTTGGTTTATAAGTTTACAGTATCTCTCTAAATCCCTAAAATGATACAAACACACTAATTGTACAATACAGACATATATTAGACATATTGCTAATCGAACACACCACACAGTCACTTTTACAATACATGACGCGAACAATTAAATATTTAAAAGGACGAGAACACAATTCTATGACTTCTAGATAAAAAGACAACCTAACCAGTTTAACCAAAAATATAAAGTATAGTACTGTTACATACAAATATAAATTATAGTACATACTCAGTATAGAATGTAAGTTATATTTTATTTTTACTCACAACTAATTTAGAAAAAGGAATTTACGTTAAGTGTTAAATAATAATCTACACAATAATATTAGATTAATTACATATATATATATAAATAAAACAAAACACGAAGACTAGCATAATTGGCTAGCGCTTTCGCCCATCTTGGGGCTCTTCAGGTGATTTAAATTTATTTATGACATCACAAATAAATTTAAATCACCTGAAGAGCCCCAAGACGGGCGAAAGCGCTAGCCAATTATACTTAGTCTACGTGTTTTGTTTTATTTATGTTTTTACCATTTGACATTTGAAATTATTTATCGCTATATATATATATATATTCTGTAAATGACTAACCCAGCATGTGGTGCTGAGGATACTTTAAATCAATTATCGAGTGAGCATACCAACCATAGATGATATATATACTTCAGGCTTTCCACTACCAGCATAAAATGTAGGTCTGACCCCTTGTAAGTAAAGTGTCCAAGCGAAGAAAGAGCACAACACATACCACATGACATCACATGTGTTACACAATCAAATACTTATACAATGTGCATAATACGGCCCCTTACAACAAGTATTAGGAAAACGAAAGTAGGGGTCACCTGATACAGAAGCACGAACGGAAAAGGTAACTCACTTAAACAAACTTCAAGGATAATGTATTAATTTTTTATCAAATCCAAATAATCAAATTAAAGCCATAATATGTAATAGACACTTGCACAAAAACACCAAATATTTCACTCCCTCTAGACACACAATCAACTTTCTCTGTATGTTATCTTTCCTACTCCGAAGTATCTTCCAAAAGCACACCGGAGGCCCGAATCTGCATCTTCGGGATGCTTATCGTCGGGAAGACATATGCATTGAGGCCATATTGAATAGACACCCGCTTTTATAAGTTTTATACTAACAAGGATGAACGGTTGACAGCGAAAAAATGCAACAATGGTATTTTACCAAATCAATTAAAATAGTGTGATTAGACAATAATGTTTAATTTCAGCGACTGACTTGTTTGGTTATTGACGTGCACGAGATAAATATGACCAGTAACTGCATGGTTGTTTGTTTACATTCGTCCTATATTTGTATAGTCATATTTGGCTATACAGCTAAATCTGCCTATATAGCCAGATTTGCCGGTGCTCCAGTACCTGATAAGGGGCTGGCACTTTGAAGGATTAATATTGATCAAAAATTTCTAATATTAATCCCTACAGTGTAGGAGAGGCCAAAAGAAACAGTTCTGACTGATAAATCGCTGGCCCAAGTGATACAAGTTACTGTAGTTCCTTTAGGATTGTTTTTCGTTAAGTCACAGGTCCTCATCTTGGTATACTTCTTCTTCCATATGAAGGATCAGACTCAAAGGTTTGAGTGCATTTGATCCTGGGAGGTGGCATTAAAAACAAATATTTTTGGTATTTTTCACTATAAGATAAAATCACTAAATACTTTAGGGTATGTTGAAACTAGCAAGGGCACACCTGAAAAAGTTTAGGTTTTGCTTCTGTGCTAGAGAATTCCAATTTACAATAAACCTGGGGAAAAAAGAGTATTTAAATAGGTTTTTGTTGGTGTGAATTTGGTTGATTCTGTTGGCCCCTCGTGTTCTCCTATCACTTGTTGTTAAAACGTAGGATAGATTATTACCAACATGTCCGTTTATGATCTTATACAGCATCATGCATGAGCCAGCTGGCTTTTGTTCTTCTCTGAGCTAGGGGCTCCCAGTTAGTGATCCGATCATATTAGATACACAATCAGGCTCTCTAGATCTGTGGTCATTAGATACATATCTGGCAGCCCTGCGCTGGACATTTTCAAATAGATATGACCTGGTCTGATGTATAAGGGTCCCAGCATGTGGCTGCATACCCTAGGGTTGGTCTTACTAAGGTTGTATATGTTTGGGCTTTAATTATTCTGGTGCAGGCTGCTTCTCAGAAATCCTAGAGTCCTGATGGCTTTGTTAGTGAGGGACTGTATGTGTTTATCCCAGTTTAGATTAGCAGTGAAAGCGACTCTTAGATATTTGCTAGAATCTAAATTGCCCAGTGTTTGATTGTGTAGGGAGTAACTATACTTGATAGTTTTTCTTTCTTTTTAGAGATGTTGATAATAGAGCACTTAATTCTTAGCATTAAAATTCTGCCATTTACTCTCCCAGTTTTCCAAAGATTTCAGCTCATTATCAAGTTTGCGACAGTCCTGTAAAGAATGTGTTTCATTAGGAGTAAGCAATCATCAGCAAAGAGTTTGATGTTGCAAGAAACTGATCTGACAAGGTCATTAATGAGAACTAGAAACAGGAGTTTAATTATGACATCAATTAGTTAACGTCACACTACCAAAATTGGTACACTACCCAAATTGGTATACACGGTCAAGTTTTGGAGTATTTTCAAGGAGTTAGATATAAGCATGTGTAGCGGGGGGGGGGGGGGTTCTTGTCGTATATAGTCTATGTGTTCTATGTGTCAGACAGGGGTCATGTAGTGTAGTTACTGTACTACATGGAGGCCAGTGTGCACTGGTGTCCCCCGACCTCTGTCTGTTGTGGTGTCCTGTCCACGTGTACCAGTCCATTGCTAAGTGTTGTCAGTTTACCTGTCTGTGATTTCATGCTTTTCTGTCTGTGCCTGTGTCTGTGTCAGCACTATGTTTTCATTGATCGAGAGTTTTGTATTGTGAATGTTTCTATATAGTGGGGTGTTACTTTCGGTTTTAGCGCAGAGCGAATGATTGGATTCCTGCTACGACTGTCATAGACTTCTGTAGGGGATAGTATTTACTGTAATGTTAGAATAGCGGATTAGAGATAGTTCATGTATAGATAGATAGAACAGGTTGGGAATGTCGGTGGATGTTAGCCTGGTAGCCTAGTACTATGTAGGGTTGGGGGGTCGTCTCGGCAACGTGTTAGGGTTTGTATCAGGTTTTCATCTAGGCCTGTACATGTGTTATTCATGTTTCATTGCTTCATACATGTATATCTCTGTTAATAAATACTGTTATTGTATCACATCCCGGAGTTGAGTTATTACCTTAACCAGCAGAAATAAGCTACCCAATTCGAACCTGGGTTGTGAGGAAAAGGTAGCGAGCCGGGGGTAGTTTGTTCATAATAAACTGGGCCCGTCTCGCTCCTGTTACAAAAGTTTAAATGTTGATTTCTGGTCCTTATATTCGGATAATATAAAAGTAAATATATACAATTATAGTTCAGTATGGTATCTATAAAAGCAATATATTTGTTGTAATCGACACATCAATTTGTAGAAATAAAAACAATTTCCATAGCCTGCGATATGGTGTACCAATTTGGGTACTATTTACTGTACGGCCGAAAAACGGACGAAATCTCACTCCGAGTTTAGCGTTCTATTTTCAAAAACAAATTACTGAGAAATAAAAAAAAAAATGAACCACCATAGGTAGTCTTTGTCAAGAATCAAGAAACATTCCAGACACAAGATCTGAATTTTTAAAGATCACTAAAAAACTGTCAAAATTGTACCAATTGCCTAACGTGACGTTCAAAACTATCATATAAAGCTTCCAAACCTGAGTAATACTGAAATAAAGTTCATTGAAAATTAGCAATTGGTTACAAATTGATAAAAAGTTAAAATCAATATCGAATTTAACTCAAAATATTTGCCTTTACATTCTTTAAAACTTTTCTTCTCCTCTCTCGCATTTCTCTCCTTTTCTCTGTATCTTCTTACACCGGAAGTATTATCGCAGGTCAAGGTCAAGTGCCTGTAAAGTTAAGGATCCCTGCACGTCGGCCCCTGCACGTTCCTTGTATGGATTACCAATCGGCTAATGAAAAAGACAGTCATAATATCAGCATTGTTCGATCCACAAAGGACTCTGTCGGAGTAATGGTGAAGACAGAAAACGTCCCAAGTCAAAGCAATAGGCTGCTTCTTTCTTTTTGCTAAAACAAACCTGCTTTATTATGTTTCAAATCGGATCACTTTTTGCAAAAATACTAATGAATAAATAAATGTGTGAACAAATCAGTTATAACAATGCTGTAGTCTTAGAATAGATAGCCATCCACCATATTTTGTCTACAGCTGATTAGTTTTTAAGTTCAAATAGCGCAAGAAAACGTAATTCAAACTCAAATGTCAATGTTTTGATCACGTTTTTAAAAAATGGCGCGTGCGACGACTATGCATTGTTTTTTGGACCATAGGAATAAATTCACACTATAGAAATACTTGTTGTCATATAAATTCTAAAGGTCATCATAAAATGTTCGTATGCTGACAAAAAATATTCATTTGAAGCGTAAAATACTGCAAAATTCAAACCTTGATCCGATTTGGGTCCTGACATTCGAAAAAACCGGAGACGCTGATTGGCGACTTCAGAGCGTTCTATAAATATCTCAAGTGAGCCCCGGGGTGCTAATTTCGTTTGAAAGAACACCCATAGATATTCTTCCTTTGATACAACCATAAATGAATATAATTCCTCGTCGGATGTTTCAATGATTTAATAAAATGATGGTTTGGTGATCCGATCCTTATGTATCTTAAATTTTAAGTTTTCATTTTTTTATGATATATTATCAGCCTGTAATATGTTTCTAAATTGATCTGTGATTATGTTTAATATATGCGCTTTTATAAGAATAATAATGATATAACAAAATCCTGAGTTACTGGGTGCAGGTCGAGCATACCATGCTGGTAGGGGGCTCCCCAACCCTTGGAGCTGACCATGTACCACTGTACTATCCTTTCTCAAGTTCTTCTTTTTTTATCTTTCCTTCACCTCATAATCAATAATTATAAGTAAATGCAGGGACGTATAATGGACTGTCCCTGGCAAATGTGATCAAATAAGAAATGAAATTCAAAATGTGATAAATGTAACTTGCCACTTTTACCGCATTGACTATTATTATTGTTCTTATTTATTTAAATATACAAATGTTTTATTGGACGCTTCCTCCCTATTTGTATCTTTTACAGCATGAACATATCTTGTTTGATTATGAAACCTTGTTTTATGTATGTTTTATTTGTGATGTCGATTGTAAAAGCTCACTAAACGAGCTTGTGTTATCAATATGAAGAAAATTACTTTAAGAAACTTCAAAATTGTCTTGCTGACAAATCAGTGCATCAAAGAAAATGTTGACAGATAGCGAAATCTATAGGAAAAATGACTATCACTAATTCTATCCTCTGAAATCTAACAATACATTTTTAGTCCATCCACAAGATAAAGCTGAAGCACTAAATAACTTCTTTACCACCATTACTGACACTAACCTACCTGACTTACCTCCCTTATGTCCATTTGAACAAGATATAACAACAAACCAGCTGGTCCTGATGGTATCTTACCTATGATTGTAAAGAAAATGTCTTCTTCTTAAGTATACCCACTCAAACTAGTATTTAATAGAACTTTATCTATTGGAGTAATACCTGATGTACTAAAAACGGCTAATGTTACTGCTCTCTATAAAGGTAAAGGAGATATCAGTGATCTCAATAATTATTATGTGGTGTTTTTTTTTTTTTTTTAAATATACGTTTAATTATATTTCAAGTCACAATATTTTAAGTGTACATCAGTCAGGATTTCAACCCAAAGACTCCACTACTAATCAACTAACTGCTATAATACTATAAGTAGTGATTTAGACCAAGGTAAAGATTTGCGTTTTGTTTTCTGTGACATAAATAAAAAAAAAAATCGTGTATGGCATTTGGGCCTATTATATAAACTAAAAACATATGGTATTAAAGATAAATTCTATTATTGGGTTTAAGCTTACTTATCTGACAGAAAACAAAGGGTTATGTTTGAAGGTTATAAATCTAGTACCAAACCTATTTCTACGGGGGTTCCTGTCCATGGTCCCTTCCTCTTTCTTCTTTTTATTAATGAGATTACTAACAATGTAACCTCTCATATACAACTCTTTGCAGATGATACCTCTCTCTATGTAATAGTAAATAATAACAATGACCTTACAACACCTACTAACATGCCTTTAATGATGATCTTGACTCAATCTCTGAATGGTCAAAGCAATGGCAGATCCTATTCAATCCGAATAAGACTGTAGCTATTAATTTCTCTCGTAGACACATCAACAATCATCCTCAACTGCTATTTAACAATACTCCAATTGCACAACATGAACACCATACTCACTTAGGACTCACATTTAACAGTAAAGGGACATGGGCAGATCACATTTCAAATATTTATAAAAAAGCTAACTCTAGACTAAGTATTCTTAGGATTTTAAAAACTACAGTTGATAGGAATACATTAAAAACATTATATGTCTCTTATCTAAGACATGTGAAACACAACTTGAAACATTACACACACGAAGACAAAATCATAAACTAACACTAATGGATAAGATTCTTAATAATTACACTCCAACTTATCTCGATGATATCATTCAACCATTTCTAAATGTAAATAATAAATATACCTTCAGAAATAACAGATTCTTTAATATACCACAGACAAGAACTACTACTTATATGAATAGCTTCTTCCCTTCTACGATGGTAAAATGGAATGCACTTGATAGCACCTTACGATATTCTATCTCAATTTCATCTTTTAAAAAGAAACTTTAAAAAACTTTTAATATATGTACATCTGCCTCAGAAACTTTTATCAAATGTGTTCCGAGGAAACTTAACATCATTTTCTGTCAGCTAAGAAATGTTAAAAGTGATCTTAACTTTGATAAGTTGCCAGACCATCTGATTGATGATGCTTCCTGTGTATGTGGTGCACAGAGGGAAGATCTAATACATTTTTTTTCTTTCAATATGTCCTCTGTATTCAAATATTAGACATCATATTGCCACTATTTATAATCTATTATGATATTTAAATCTGCACTGTTTATTATATGGTATAAGTAATGCATCGGACCAATTAGATAAACTATTCTTATACATGTTGACTTTTATATGAAATCATCAAAACGTTTCGTTACTTATACATGCTAGATAAATTCCAAATTAATATTCATGTATTGTTATTATTATTAGTGTACAGGCAAGTTTTGTCCCTTAAACAATGACTATTATACATAAGCGGGTGTGGGTGTGGGTGTGCATGTGTTTGAGAGGAAAACGAATTACAACATTTTATATATTAAGCATTGTACATAGCTACCGGAAATAGAAGAAGACTGATATAGGCATAGCCTGTTGTCTAAATCTTTTGTCAATACTGTTCTAACATCTTCTTTAATTTTAACTTATATGTTTGTATTATATATGTATTGTCAATAAAATACTTTTGAAATTGAAAATTGTGTTATCTTTGGAAACCATATCGACATTGAATAAAATTTACTTGACTTGACTTGACTTGACTGAGATGACAGATTCGCCCGATAAAAAAGATGCACATAACTTAATGAGTGTACAAGGACCCTTAACTTTTGGGGCGGCACATTAATCGTTATTCTTACCATCAAACTCATCCCATTGACTATCAAAGTTTCACTGAAATTAGTATGTTGGATACTTGTTTCATTATCATTAGGGCGGATCTGTCGAGTGGTTAACACTTCGGCCTTCCACGCAGGCGGCCGGGGTTCGATCCTCGAAGTCGTCGCACGCATACAGAGAAAGTGTTTTTCTCCTGCCCACACTACTCCAACAACCCAGGTGGAGTATATAATGGTATGGGGTGGATCAAGTGAGGTGGCACTATGAAAGATTGAAGCACGCGCGGTCCCACTACAAACAGAACACAATACATCTCCAGCACACACGCAATCATACACACATAGGGAGATATCAGCCCGGTGGCATATGACTAGTAGTTAGCGCATGATAAGGTAGCTCCTGCGAATTCCTCTAAAAAAATGCGTTGATTAATGTATATGCTAATTGTATTGATTGTATATCTTTGTACTGTAAAGCGCTTTAGAGTGGCTTATGTTAGCTAAATGGGGCGCTATATCAAATGTTGTATTATTATTATTTATTATTATTATATAAATAGACGCGTTACTTTCTGCGTATCGAGTTCATCCACTCGCTGATGATACAGAAGTCCATGATTCAGTCAAATATACACTACTGTCTTTCCTGTTACATAATATTATCTCACGGTAAAGACTCAACAAAATGCTTAATTTCGTGTTATTTATACTGATTTGAACTAGATCACATGCTGAATGAAACACAAGACCGCACACTCATTACCAACAAGTTTTAAAGGGGCATCACGTGAAGAGCCATATTATTTTTAATGAATGCTTTTGTTGTATGCACTTCCACTTATGTTACCTTGCAATCCCCATATTCATAGTCATAGTCCGTTCCAAATGTCCAGTTTGACCACTTGAATTGTTCGGGAAAGCCCTGTTAAAAATAGCGCCAATAACGTCACCTGCCGGTGTTGAAACGAGACAGTAAACACAGGTGGTCTGACCGAGATTCAAAATTTCAAAAGAGGCCCTTTAGAGAGGGACTGTCAGGCAACTGCAACCTCTTACCGCACTATGTAACCAAGTGATATGCTTTCTTAGTCCGTGTTGAAACTTATTGAATCAGTAATTATTCATCATCAGAAGTTTTTTGCACACATGCCAATATTTTAAGCGATTGCACAATAAGTTTTGGTCCGACCTGAGGCAAGACTTAAGAGATGTGACTGGCCACAATCATGATTCCATTGCTGATTATGAAGAACTGTGAATAG